AAAATACGCACAAAAAGAGATTTAACTATTTAGTACTGAAAATGACTCCGTCCGCGTAGAATTAAAAAAAAAACAAAAGTAGCCTATGTGGTCTTCCAGACTATCCTCTACAGCTATGTCAAATTTCATCCAAATTCGTTCAGCCGTTTAGGCTACAAACATCCATCTAAACTTCCGTATTTATAATATTAGTATGATTAATTTTACATTGACTCATAGACAGATTCTAGAAAGTTCTTAATAGCGAATAAATCTTAATACGGCTATTTGTTTTACGGATAAATAAGTTCCTTAACGATGTTTAATCTCATCGTTGAGAAAAGTCAACATAGAAACTTGTAACGGTCTTAATTACGAGAACCGGGATGATATTTGCACTTCCATTGGCGATTATTTTACGATTAAACATTTTATTAAAGTAGAAATGAAAGATTGAATTATCAAAATATGAACATAAATTTATATACATAATTATTCATTATTTTGACTAGATTTCGCCCTCAACTCCGTCCGCGTGGAGTTAAAAAAAAAAACAGAAAAAACCGTTCAGCCGTTTAGGCTACAAACTCTAACAAACATCCATCCATCCATCCATCTAAACTTTCGCATTTATGATATTAGTAAGATAAGTCAGCAAAACTAGATACTCTTATTTTAATTACTCATGGTTTTTCTTCATGTCATTTGTTTAAAAAAAGACAAATAAATAGTAAATATTGTAACCTAGGCTATGGTGAAGGAAAGCCTAAGTTTAGACAGCAGACATTCAAATAGAATTTAAAAGGAAGATACTACTTCGTCTGGCGAGAATATATCACATGAACAATGAAAAAAGAATCCGTCGCAAGCAACCGTAGCTTCACTTTATTTAATGTGTTTAGGGCAATCGAACACGTAGACCTACTGTTATAATCTACAGTGTCATTTAATGACAAATTAAGCAGTTATTTAGTATTCATTTTGGAAGAGACATATTAAAATACATATTATACTAATAAAACATATTCACCTAATGTAAAATTTCCTTTTAAAAATTTCCAATTAACCTAAAACGTATTATTATTTAGAAAAAATCTTTCGATTTAGATATATCCTAAAGTTGAAGAAGGTTTATGTTCACGTTTGTAGTATTTTATTCGTCTAAACGTAGATACCTTCAAAAGAATAAAATAAAATTTTGTATTGTCGATTCCGTGCGCGAGAATCCTTAGGTGAGATCGGGATTTTCTGATTTTAGGTAGGATTTTCTCGACCTTATCTGTGTCGATGTGAGTTTTCTTTACTCGGGGTCTTTGTTTATTCTGTTCGAAAAGAGATTTCTGCGAAAAATACTCGACTATTGTTTGAATTTCGTAGATTTTAGTGTTGTAGGTATTTTTTATATGATTTGTGTCCATATTAATTTTACTAGTTAGCATGAAAGTGAAATAATATGAAGAATTGAATAAAATATGTATGACAATTTTTGTAACTACGATATTAGTTCAAATTGTTAACAAAATATGTTAAAGACTTAACTAAGGTAGAAAAATACATTTACAAATACTTATAACTCAATTTTGTTCAAAAATAAAACGTAATACATTTCAGATATAGCAAACTAAATCAAACACACATTGTTTTGGTAAGAGATTCAAAGCCGACTGAAAGATAAACCGCGTAACAAAAGTATCGACTCTCAATACAGGGAAAAGCGTCGGGTAGCGGGGAATGAACCCGGGTAAATCCCGGCTTACGACCCGCCTCCCAACCCCTGTCGCTGTCCGGAGACAGATAGCTCACCTATTCCTTTCGACGATTGCTTCTTTTCAAGCCTAGAGGTAGGTTCTTTATTCCTTTACTTTATTTATATAGCTCAATAGTTTTAATATAAAAATCGGTCCACGGTCGGCGGAGTTATGCTGTAACACGCATAAAATAAAAACATACAGACGACTTGAGTACCTCCTGCTTTTGGGAAGTCGGTCAAAAATATAATGTCTGACACAAGAAACACCAAACATAATTTATTTTTACAAAATCAGCAGAGATCGTCATTTGTTTGGATCATTTTGAGAATGTTTATATCATACTTGCTTTCACCCGCGACTCCGACCGCGTGGAATAAAAAAAAACGAAAGTGTAGCCTATGTGTTTTTTCAGACCATCTTCTACATTTGTACCAAATTTCATCGAAATCCGCTAAGCCATTTAGGCTACAATCCATCTAAACTTTCACATTTATAATATTAGTATGAAGTTTTATTATCTTATATATTCTAACTAAATATAACAGAATAGAATCAATACATTCTTATGCCAAAAATTGCTTCTACAGAAAACGAATATAAGTCAAGACTGGTGGTTTATTAGTAAGGTTTTCCTGCTATGAAAATAGTTCCATACCTTATGTTTGAAACAATTTTTTTTTTAATAATGTGTTACATTATAGTTTAACTAGCTGTTCCCGTGCGGCTTCATCCGCATGAAAATATGAAAATTTAATTTTATTGTTTACATTTGTCAAAATGACATGACATTACAAACCTTGGCAATCTTGCTTCCTTGATGTTGGCAGCAACTTATAGTCTCTTTCCCACATTAGGGTTTTTATCCAAAATATTTACCCCATACGTTCAAAGCGTGACGTAAGTGTAGGGCTTTTTATTAAAAAAGGAATTATTCAAAAATATACCGTAATTGCTGACATCTTAGGCAACAAAGAAATGTGTGTTTACGCTTTATTATAATAGTATAGATGTAAACGCGTGTACTTTTTATTGAAGAAAATGATCCTTTGCAATTGTTCTTTAATAACACGAACACGAAGGGGGATGTGGTAATGTAAGCGATAAATCTAAATTAAAAGCTTTAACCCTTTCCATCTACATCGCGCCCGTTACTTTACCCAGGTTTCAAATTGATTGACTTAATTAATTCTACCGAAGCATAACAAATTCTATTAATGTGGCATACAGAATTTCATTTTAAATAGAACTACCTATCTATACTATTATAATAAAGCGTAAAAACACACTTCTTTGTTGCCTAAGATGTCAGCAATTACAGCATATTTTTCAATAATCCTTTTTTAATAAACAGCCCTACAATTACGTCACGCTTTAGACTATATATTTTCACGCCATTAAACTTAGGGGGTAAATATTTTGGATAAAAACACTAATGTGGGAAAGAGACCATAAGTTGCTGCCAACATCAAGAAAGTAAATTGCTAAAGTTTGTCATTTTGACATTTGCTACTGATAATTTGACAAAGGTGTTAACCTTAAAAATAAAATTTTCATAATTTCATGCGGACGAAGCCGCACGGGAACAGCAAGTTTGTACTATAAGTAAAAAGAATTAAAAAGTGCCAAAAACCGCCTTTATTATATTTTTTTCGAGATACATTTAGTACATTTTTCTTGACCATTTATTTATTTAGCTTTGAATATATTCCATACAATTACTGTTGTTATTGATTTTCATATTATTTATTTATAATGGTTTTACGGATCCCTGATGGGTAAAAGCCTCCTCCAACTATGACCAGTACTCTCTATCCTTCGCCACGTCCTGCTATCCCGCACACTGCCGCGATCACGTCTGAACATCTTCTTGACCATATTTATGTGGAAAGAAAATTCCTATTTAAGATTTATTTTTAAGTAGCTGTTTTAATTTTTATTAAATTCGGCATTAAATTCGATGTCTCCGTTAAAAAGAAACAAGAAAAATTTCTTCACTGTTAGGAAATTCTCGTCGTGATCCTTTCGTTTGAAAACTTTTGAATAAAACACTTTATAACTTTTAAAACATTGTTTTGGGTTTATTAAATATTGGATCTTTGGAAGTGGCAGGAAAAGTTTTTAAATTTTTCCTGTCAAGGCTTGACTGACAAGCTATTAATCATTCTGTCCGCAAAAATAAAACGTTAAAAGAATAATAATTTATTCAGGCGTCGAATTTCCTGGGAAGTTATATTTAAAATTATGTTATGCCTTAGTTTTTTCATCAATATACTAATTATTTATGTTACTAGTACAAAATAAATATAATGTTAAAAATAGAGCTTGAAGTTGGTATACACAAAACTTTAGATTTGAAGAAAGGTATTAAAAATGTCTTAATATATCGAAGAATTAAAATAAAACATTGCTTTGTATAAATCCACTTCATACCAAACTTAAGTGTTCGTATAATTTATCATACGTTTTATTTATAATGTTGGTAGTAAAATGAACATATATGGGTAAAGTAATAGTAACTTGAGATAAGTGTTCAGACTGTATCAATCATTCTCTTTTACTTGTTCGATAACCTTTTATGTTTATCTGTCTTTCGGCCTTTCTTTGTATTCTATTATTATTTATTAAGATAAAAAGTTTTCATTAAACTATAAACTACTAGCTCGCGACTTCGCCCGCAAGGAATTAAAAAAAATATGCCTATACTCACAGATAAATTACCTTCCTAACGGTGAAATAATTCTAATAATCGGCCCAGTTGTTTTTGAGTTATTTTAATACATACAAAAAAAGAAATCTTTCTTCTTAATAATATTTGAACAAATTTACTGTTACATTTTAAACGTAGTAAATAATGTCGTCCTAAAGTTAAATTCACTATGCAAATTTGAATGTAAACACCTGTCTACCCAGATTAAGTTTTAGTCGTGAATGCTTTATCGTACATATCAAATTATATGTTAACTACGAGTATAAAGATAGATAACTCATATATAAACTTACAAATTACCGTTGCTAATTTTGTTGACAATACGTCTTAGAAAAAGGAAACAATACTCAACAACATCCATTGTTTTCAAACAATACCGACCAACAAATTTATCGATAAAATAATCAAGCAGAATAAACAGAATTCCAAAATTACCATCAGATAAAATAAACGAGCTTACAATATTAATTTTATGTAAAATCAAATAGCAGATGAGATTTAATTTATGTTTTCATACACAATTGTGTCGACTATCATGAGGCTATCATAATTCATTTGACAGTTGTCGTCGGTCATCCGTCGAGTTCGCAAGGCGCGTTGAATCGCATTTAATAGTAGGCGAAATGTTAGCGGTATGCGGTTACTTGTGTTGATATTGTTCAGTTTAACAGTGTGCACGATAGTCTTGTGTTTCGATATGATTGTGGGCGACACAGTACACAGGAAAATGGTGTTCCACCAGAGAGTGAAGGAGTTTCCGATACCGTTTAAGAAGCGTATAAAATCATTATCGTATAGTGATCCTGAGAAACGTATTATTAAGGTAAGTTTTACTTATCTTTACATTTGCATACCTTACTTGTCTGTTACCTTACTTGTTGTCTAAAGCCGTGTATAAACTACAAATTCTATTAAAAAATTGACGTCTATTAGATTATAAACACTTCCGAAGCGAAAGGTTTAAAATTCCAGTTCACAGCCATTAGTCTTATGTATTCACTTGATGCTTTGCCAATTTACTTCCAACCATATTTAAGTAACGTCAAAGTTGTGATATCCAAATCGATTTACTCATTTTTATACTAAAATATAGTAAAGTTTTAAGAGTAGAATGGGACACCATCTATTTCTACCTTCACTATGTGCCAAGAATTATGTTAGAGAAATAATTGAGTAACGCTTCTTTTGTTTTATCATAGTCATTTTCCCCTTCAGTCATCGTTTAAAATGGGAATTACATTACATCGAATTACAAATATTCACTGGAAATTTGCAATAATTACAATTTATAAATAAAGTAAACAACTCCAATGACGAAGTAAATAATTACTATGTTCGTATTTTCCCTTTATTTTTTTGTGTTTTAATAATTATTTCAACAAAACTGGTTTTGTTTTCTATTCACTTTTTTGAATGCTTCTAAGTTTCATAGATAATTCAGTTTGAATTATGATTTATTTTAAAGAATAATTGTAAATACATTACGCTAGAATATTCTTGTAAATTCTAAATACAATCTTTTTTGCCTGTTGTTACATGTAGGTACAAATATTTTAACAGATATACTCAATGCCACAGTCAAATTGTGAATATTGTTAGTTAAAAAACTAGGCAATTTATAGATATACTTCTGGAAGTCAACATATAAAATCTTATTGTGTTATTTTTTTAATAATAAAAAAGTTAATAACAATAATATCGGTTTGATTAGAATAAAAAAGATATGAAAGTAGTCGTAAAATCAATTTTAATACTGGCAGTGAGATTTTTAATTGATTGACGATTTTTAGAATCTGCCGATGACAAGCAAGCGCGTAAAAACAAGTCATCTTGACCTTGGTTGACCGCAAATGGCATGGCACATCGTATTTTTGATGATATAAGACGTTTTATAATTGGAAACGCAAACTCACGTTCCGTTTTTTATTGTTCATAAACATTACTTTACGACCACAATAGATTCGTAACACTCATTGTTTGGAAATTGATAGTACTTTTCAGTACACTCAGTTCACACTTAATGCTATATTTTTCTTATTGAAATCATTTATGCTGGGTTTCTGAAGTTTTCATTTATTTCATCATTACCTAGTGGTTCATTAATATTAGGTTGTTAGTTAAACACAATGTTAAAATCTAAGTTTCAACATAGTAAAACTTAAGTTACGTAGTTCGGAAACGCATTTCCGGAAGTTATCCCACCAAAAACACTAACGAGTGGTTAAATGTAGCTGGGAAACTCAACACTAAAACGCATGAAGAGCATGCGCACCTGAAACTAGACTATCGCACAACTGTTTAGTCTTATGAGTTTATAAGAAGGTACTCACACTACTTGATGTTTAGTTGTTCAATCAAACAGTTGAATTGGCTGCGAAACAATCGACAATCGCACAATTGCGATTGTTTAGTCAAAGATGTGCACTTATTATTAAACCTTTCTATGTAAAATGAGTAATTCTAAGATGTTGTGGTCATTTGTTCTTTTTGTAAGAAACTATTGCTTGTTTTCAGGGTGTTGCTGCGATCGACAATGATTTCTCTCACGCGAGTGCTAATGTCACTGAAGGAGGAGTTGGCTACTCTTACGTCACAGTCAGAATGAAAAGCCAGCGACATCATCCGCTGAACTTCGAAGTCGAAATATACGTCTAGTCGCTGATATGGAGATATACACTGTAAACAATAAGTGTACTGCACGTAAATATAAATGTACAATCGGGGAAACTGGCGGTGTTCCTACAAAGCTACAATCTTTTGAACATTTTAATAGACGCGGAACAAAAATCAATGCAACCCTTAAAAATGTGTCTGTACAAAAAAATGTCGGTTAGTGATACACGACTTGTTACTTTTTATAATTATTCCTTCGTTTGCATTCGCTCTAATTAGTTATTTATAGGAAGAGGTGGAGACAATTTTTCCAGAACTGGAACACCGCAGGCTTCCGTGATTGTACAAGAACTGTATCACTTATAGTAACAAAATTCTTTGCCTCGGAAAAAATGTTCACTAAAGAACACCGAGTGTTGATTTACACTCAGAGTAATTTAGTTATTATAGAAATAGAACAAATCATTAAAAATCATTTAACGTGTGGCAATAAATTGTTAATTTGTCATTTTAACGTACGACTGTTGAGTCATATAAAGATATTTAAACGTAAAAGTAAAGTCTGCTATACACGCGTAATTTTATTTGAATAGTCGAATCGTTTAGATAAATCTAACCGTAAGTGTTGCCAACTTTACCTTTCTTAAAAGTGAGAACTAAACAGTTCCCAGTTATGTTAGATTTTTTGGATGATTAGACTGTTCAGATAACCGAGCGAGTGTATCAGGCTTAAATGTTGAATCTGTCTTCAACAATATCACTTAACATTTTTACATTCGTAGCAATTTTCGGTTAACGTGTGTTTGTTGAACAATCAATTTATTCGTAATGATAGAGATTCCGTCTTAATAACAAATATCCAATATCACATTTCAAGATAAATTGCATAGTTTAATAAATTGATACTTCTCATTTAAATCAGAAATCTATAATCTTGTTTTTCTTTCTGTTCAATTCAGTATATAGTTAACAATATAAGAAATTATAACAGATAATTTATACATATATAGAAAATAGTGATAAATCATTATACCGATTGTCAGTATTTTCTATTTTAACTAAATAACGACACGCATTATTTTTTACCATAAAAATACTCGTTGCAATTAAATTGTGTTGTTTATTAAAGTTACACACAAGAAGACAATTAAATTCAAAAGTTATCAATAAAGCGTTTAATTTGATGTTACTTCTATTAGAATATATTGGATATTAAGGTATGTATTATAACTATATGTGTATTGCGTTAAATGGAATACATATTCATTGTGTTATGTATCTATTTCGGATACAGTGAGATAAATACGCAATAACTATTGTCACGTAGGCACTATGTAACTAGGCTAAGCATGATTGTCAATACTCAATTACAAAGTTGTTGCAGAAAAACAGATATATAGCAGAATACGAAATCATTTTAATTATTTAATAAATGTATTCATTTGTAATTTTTACGTACAAGATACTATGATATAAAGAAAAGCAAATAAAACGTTAGATATAAGCCAAAGTAATTGTTATGAATCTGTACATAAGTTAAGATTGTTTATATTATAGTTTGTTATTGAAATAAACAGTTTTTTTACTCTGTGGTCGATTTCATTTCTTCATAACTCTTCAGACATCATTTTCATAAAACACATAAATATGAACAAACAAGTAATAGACTTCTTAGGTACATTTCGCCTTGGCACAAAGTCGTACGTTTATCATTAGCAAAGGAAACTGGTTCTCTAATTATAGGTAATTAGGTCTTCTTATCGGGGATGTATAAAAGTCAACATGTCTCGAGGAATTCAAATTAAACCATATTACAGTGGAATACCACATTTAACCAAATATATAGGACTGTTAATAAGATGAGTGATGCTTTCTGTATTCCTAAAACTGTAAATAAACTTCTTTAACAACATATACAGAGTAACGGCCGAATACTGGAACGAATCTTAAACATTCCTTGTTCCTAGTGGATCGTAACATACGATAGATATATATAAATACTTCGAATAATACCATATTAATGGTACCTGCCGCCTTCTATACCTAGGCTAGATTGTTAACCAGCAACATCCATGAGTATGGTCCTGTCTTTTAAGATGTTACATAATTAAATGTCGTTTCACTATTCGGCCATAAGTATTTGATTTATCTCACATTCGTCGTTGCACTTATCGCTCTTTTATTTCCAAATAGTCGAACTTCGCGACGAACAAAAAATATTCATTCGGATTTTCGACGTGAAACAGCTTACGATGTGGAGTTTTTGCGAAAAAGGTCGAAAATAAATCACAACTGCCGCCAGTGGTCGACCGGGGCGTGCGAATTGGAAATGCGAGAAGAAAATCGAGTGCATGGACATTCGAAATTTTATTTCATCTATGAAAATAATGGTATTTTTGGGCTTTAAAATTGTACGTTTTGAAATATTACCCTGTAGCTAAGTTTTACGTTTTGTTTATGATTCTCGCACTTTACAAGTTACAAAAAAGTAATATTTCAAATAATATTTACTACTGTTTAGTATATTTAATTATATGGTAGTAGAATATTGTGATTTTAAAGCAGGTCTTTTTGGCATATTCAAAACATTCAAACAAAAAAGAAATTGTCAAATGGAATAGAAACGTTCAATGAACAAACCTTGATATTTATTTATCTATATTTAATACACAGTTCTATTATCTTATATCATTTCGCTTTACTGTAAACGTGATACTAGAAGTATCTATAAAAATACAATCTTTGTTAAAATCGATAGGAATCGCAACATGCGATCAGCTTTCAAGTTGTTTGAATCGAATTCCGAAACACGACAAAGTTTCTTACATTCTTGTTAAATCTTTATTCGCACACAAGAATATTCTAAAGGAAATTGACATATGCTTGCATATGCCAGCTTTAATGAAAATTATTAAATCATGCTACAGATTTTTAATTGGTGAATCAAGAGCACCCTAAATTGTGTTACATTACATTTTTCTGCAAATAAAAAACTACAATTATTTTAATCCAGCTTAACTAAAAAAACACAAATTTCTAGGTTTGTAATTATGTCTTTGATTCATAAACCAACATATAAATAAATATAAAAGGATGTATTCAAAAGCCAAAGCCGTGTTATTTTCCGCTTGTCTAAATTTCCCCCTTTAACTTTCACGTAGAAATTCTTGAACAAAATATACGGTCACCTAACCACGGGAAATGTTTTCGACAACGCCACGTCGAAAGTTGTCGGCCCAAGGGATAAACAAAAAGGGGTAGGCGCTTTCCGCGGCCCTTCGTTATTAATGTAATAACTGACACTTTGTTTTATGAGAGTTCCCACTTTAGTTTGTTCGCGTCTAACGCCTGCGACACGACGAAAGGCGTTTCCCACTTTATGAATTTTGAAACACGGATTATTGAACGTTAAGGAAGTTTGATGGACAATTTGAGTCCACGAATGGTTAATAAGTGAAAACCAGATGCTTCAAACCACCAATACTTGTAATTAATGAACGTTATTTATACAAAATTTAACTAACCTATAGTTTTGCTATTGGTCTTTATACAAGGAAAATTTTAGGGACCATAAAAGTATTAGTACGATAAAATACTTTTATCTGCGCAGCTGTTGTCGTTTGAATTTTAAAAACAGTAACGTTCGAGTCGCAAAATTTTAAAAGTAAGCTTCGACGAGCACGTATTTTAAAAAACAAAAGCCAACTCGACGTTTCAGGAAGGCACGTAGCTAGGAGCTGCAATCGGGGCCCGAACTGTCGACATCCGATATCAGCAGAACGTTACGGACATTCAAGAATTTCCAATAACACCCGCTTCTTACTAGATGTAAAACCGGGCATTGATACTTTAATCTGATAGTAATAAAGTTTAAAATTGAATGCAACATTAAACGAGATATGCAAATGACAAGTTTGCAAAAGATTCAAGACGCCATAAAGGTAAATTCGAAAGAGTTTCTACTCTCTGCTACGTTAAGTATACGTAGACGTTATTTGTTTTTGACAAGGTATCTACGTGATTAAACTTTTTGAGTCCTACTGTTAAATGATATACTAATATGAAAGTGGGATGTTGTTTAGTTTTTACAATAGCAAAATAATACTTGTATTATTACTACATTTTACATTTTAAAATTTGTCTTCTTACTAATATTTTACTTAGATGGATGGATGGACGTATCTTACAGATTGTATTCTAAAGTGCTGAGCGGATCTCGATGAAATTGGGCATAATTTTTGAGGATAGTCTGAAACAAGATGTATGCTACTTATTTTGTTTTTTTTTTTTTTTTAATTCCACGCGGATGGAGCCGCGGTTGAAAGATAGTTTTTAAAAATTATAATCGCATTTATAGTATTAATATTAAATACCCATTCTTAATGCACTATACGTAGTACAGTTTTCCGTAAAAATAGCACTCATGATTCTAAACACGATAGGGTGGGTCGTACGTGTTATAAAAACAGAAAATCAGAGCCAAAATATTCCAACTCCTGTATTCATATTTGATGTACCATGAATGAAGACGGCCAGGGGTGACGGTATTGAAAGGAAAGTCATTAACCCACTTCGCCGTTCGTATTTTTAGCCCGTCCTGTTTAATAATAGTTTATGCTATCGCGCCGTTCAACTTTTCCTTTGCCTACAAACAAACCAAACAAAGGAAGTCGGTGTCGTTAAGGGCATGACTCAACAGGCCAAGTTTTGACAGCTTTATACTATTTTTATCAAAGAATGTTAAGATAGACATTACATACATTATTATCTGTTTCGTAATCGTGATTCTTTACGTAAGAGGATCGTTTCAATTTAACAAATGAATAACAATGTAACATTTGTGATTTCTTCTAACAATTCAACCTTTATTTAACAATCTATTTCACTGTAGTAATTAGGTAGCAACTCATACCTCTTTTTCTTTGCAATTAATAACAAATTATGTGCAAAAATTCCACATACTATGCACTCAAATAATTCACCAAGAAATAAGACTATAGCCCCACAGTAATTCGATATCTCACATATTCTCGCAGTAACTATAATTTAGAATTATTGCAATTTTGAGTCTTGTATGATAACATTTAATAGAATTAAGGAAGCGGCATAAGCAGATAAAATGTCACATAAGGTTTTGGGTGCACGGTCGGCGGTCGGGCGGGTTTTATTGAGAAGCTAATTACGTAAGACATGGGCTGCGGGTAGCCATCCATCAATCAGGATCTGTCCCGGCTTGTGCGGACTAATTTGCTCGTTTGTTTCGCCCCTTAAGCCTCTTGCGGCATCTACGGAACTCTGATAGATATTTGATATGATGATGACTTATTGGTTAATAATTAAGCGGTTTATCACTACTAATTACTCGCAATTTATTTTTAAATATTTTATACCTTATTATTAAACTTACTAATATTGTCACTGGTAGGTACAGTCGCGGAAATCTGCGGTGATCCATTTCAGAAAGAATTGCCTTGGTTATTGCAACAACACAAACTCCTCCTCAGCCTACAAATAACTAATTAGATAGCAGTGAGTGCAAACGAAGGGATAATAACCGACTTTATTTCTTACAGATACATCTTTAAGCTGCATTGTATTGGTTTATGGTGGAACACCGCTAGATTCCCCGACTGTACCTAGCACCTACTATTGGTAACTAAATGCAATATAGCTGCGGTCTAGCGACACACGCAAGGCAAGGCGCCTTTCGCGTAGGTCGTTTACGCTCTTTTACGAAACTTTATTTTAATGTTGTTTTTTAAACTCATTGATAAACTTGTTAATTTAATCATCGAGCTGAGGGGCGTCCAGAACTTATAAATACAAAAGGTATGACGCACGGCGGGGATTGTTGGATGCGGCAGGTGAATGACCGTATTCTATAGTAGATAGGAAGGCCTATGTCCAACAGTGGACAGATCAAGGCTGATGATGACGCCTAAATCTCAGAACGATGCATTTTTTTGTTCTTTTTTCGTTTCATAAGAATAAATTATGCAATAGGGAAAAGTAAGTGTGGAAAAGGAAATATATTGCGAGCGTTGTTTACCCACGTTTCATTCAAACAAGGGGTGGAAACTAGATGGAAACAAAGGGCGTGAACATCAAACTTCAGATTGTGAGTAATAAAACAGTTTCTGTAGAATTGAAGGGGACTTGCGTTACTTGTGCATGGGTTTTTTTCCTTTTTCCTAAATGGATTATAACCTTGAATAATGCAAACATTTAAATGACAATATTTACTATACGATGTAAGAGACATCATCTAATCATACTAATATTATAAATGCAACAGTTCAGATGGATGGATAGATGTTTGTTAGAGTTTGTAGCCTAAACGGCTAAACGGATCACCATGAAATTTGGCATAGATGTAGAACATAGTCTGGAAGAAAACATAGGTTATGTTATAAGTACTAGAGATGGAGCAAACTATTTATTGTTAGGTTACCGTTTTTCAATTAAACAAACCGTTTTCTTTATTAAATTAAACAATCAGTTTAGATTTAAAGTACAGAAATGTCTAAGAAAAGTTAATATAA